TTTGTAGGCTATCGGTCCAGCCTGGCCTCGAACTCACAGAGATCTGCCTGCCTCTGCCTCCCCAGTGCTGGGATTAAAGGCATGCGCCACCAACGCCTGACTGTTCCACTAGCTCTTATAACTTAATTTCACCTGTTTTTCTTCATCTACATTTTTCCTAGGGCTTTTTAACCTTTCTTCCATTCTTTATATCCTTTTCTTTGGCTGGCTGGCCTGTGACTGCCCGGGTGGCTGGCTCTGGGTGTCTCCCTTTCTTTCTCCCTTATTGTCTCTTCCTCTCTCTCAAGCCTAGATTTCTCCTCCCACTTATTCTATCTGCCTGTCTATCCTTCTACTGCCTATCTACTGGCCAGTCAGCTTTTTATTAGACCAATCAGGTGCCTTAGGCAGGCAAAGCAACCTGTCTTTAGTCATTAAACAATGCAGTGTAAAGAAATGTAACACACCTTTACATAGTTAAAGTAATACTCTGCAACATAAACAAATGTAGCACATCTTCGCCTAGTTAAGGTAATACTCCATAACAGAAGAGACAGGAAGATTTCTGAGTTTGCTGGATAACCAGTTAATGGGGATGGGGTGTGCTGTGGGAGGGCAAACTTCAAATGCAGGAAGAGACATTGTATCAAGAGAACAAGGTATAAAGTGATAGAAAATGACATCAAGTGTCCTTCTCTGGACTCTGCAAAATCACACATAAGGTACAGACACTGACACCCACAAATACACAATCACTTCTGAGATAATCAAATTCTAAAGAGAAGCCCCCCCCTTTGTGTGTTACATGCACAGGTTCTTGTGTGTGTGTGTAAATGTATAGGTATGGAAGCCAGAAGTGAACACTAAGTGTCTTCGTTTATTGCTTGTCACCTTATCTTTTTTTTTCAAAGACACAGTCTCTCATTGAACCCAGAGTTCAACAATTCAGCTGGCCAAAGTGCTTCTGTGACCTACCATGTCTCCTTTCAAAGTGCTGGAGTTATAGATGTGTGCCTCATGGGGGAGCTTGGGATCTGAAACAGGTCCTCATTATTCCATGGAAGGCAATCTATGTATCCCCTCAACCCTGAGAAGTTCTATTTTAACTCACATGTTTAGAGGTTTCAGAGTACTATCTCTTGGCCCTGTTGCTTTGGACCTGTGGTAGCACATTAAGATGGGAGGAAGGAGCAGATTGAAACTGCTTACCTCATGAGTGGGAGGTAAAAGAGAGGAGGAAGGTCTTGGCTCTCACTTTGATTCTCAGGGTTATGCCCCTATGACCTAAAGGTCTTAGACTCCTTTAGAAGATCCACCTGTTAGAGTCACTCCCATGTGCCATTAGGAGCACAGATAACAGCCAAGCCTTTACCACATGACCCTGTAGGGAACACTTCTGCCAAACATAGCACAGATTAAAAAGTAAAAAGGGATAAATGGCACCAATTTTTTAATATATAGTAATAGATCACCTTACAGAGGAGTAACTTCTGAGGAATGAGTCACTGGACAATTTCTTTACTGTGGAACCATCATATAGTGCTTTTCCCTGACTTAGGGAGTGTGGCCTCCTACACACCTATATTATATGGTACGACCTTTGCTCCTATGCTACAAATTGCACAGCATGTTTCTGAACTCAATCTCTAAACAACTATGTCAGAATCTTAAGTGCTTTTGTGTCCAACTATATCCAAATATGGGAAAGTCACCGTGAAACACAGTGTGATAAAGAGCATGGGGCACTCCCCTAGAAGAAAATCTGTTCCAGGCAAAGGACTGTGGATTTCTCCAAGCTACGTGCAAGTGAGCTGTGCATGAACTGGAAGGCATCAAATTTCACTGTGTACTACCTTACTTGTAGAAATTAAAAATATTGTTCTCACCTTAATAATAAATTTAGCTCAGTTTAGAATAATCTTAATTCTTTTTTAGAAATTTCTTGACTTGTTTGTAATGTCAATTAGCTTAAAACACAAATGTTGCAGTATTTCTTTATATTTCTATTATGTAAGCTTTAATCTATTTAAAATCTTAGTTTTCTTAAAATATTGTATTACATCTATCTATCCATCCATCCATCCATCCATGGAGCACAGGGAGAGTATGTAGAGGTCAGAGGACCAATACAGAGAGTTGGTTCTCTTCTTCCATCATTTGGCAGTATTCCACCATTTGATAAGTGCCTTTAACCTTCAGAAACACCGAATTGGCCCACTTTTATTTTCTAATCTTTTATTGTTGTTGTTATGGGGTACATATTATCATCACTGTTAATGACAACCTTTAGTATATATAGTCAGTTCCTTGGGACAGTCTTCATGATTAGTACGTTCATGAAGCTGTCATCTTCTGTCGTAACAATGTCTTCTTCTGGATCCCACTTGAGCCTGTTAGTGGCAGCTAACTTGCATATGAATCTAAATATATTTAAGTGGAAGGAATGCACTTTGAAAATAAGAATATAATATAGTAAATATGTAAACTAGGCACAATCATTTATTGTCATCAAGTATTATGCACTGTGCACAACTGTATGTGACTCGTAGTACAGTAGGTGTTATTGTTCACACTAATACTCCATCAAAAGTAAGAGTCTTGGGGCTGCTGAGGCAGCTCAGCATTTACCCTGCAAAGTCTGATAGAAGGCCTGGGTTAAGTTACTGGGACCCACTCGGTTGGAGGGAGAAAACTGGCACCTTCAGGTTGTCCTCTGACCCCCCCCACATACTCACACACACACACACACACACACACACACACACACACACACACACACACACACACACGCGCGCGCGCACGCACACACTCACTCATACACACACAGACAGAAAACACACTCTGCCCCATCCTCAATAAATAAATGGGCATGACAAAACATTTTAAAAGCATATGCTCTGTGCTATGCTACAATTTTCTGATGGATTGATGTTATTAGGAAACAGGATTTTTTTGTTTGTTTGTTCCTCAAATAATCTTATGAGACCACTGCCACATAAATTCTCATGTGTTTATTCCACTTGCCCAAAATGTTATAGTTTTGACTAGTAAAACAACATAAATGTATTTATTTATAATGTGTCGTACACTAAGACCTTCCTTTGCACTAAGTCTTTGCAACATGGTATGGATTTTATACTTATGGCGCATGTCGATTTACTTTGGTCACTTTTTGAGTGCTCGCTCAATAACCCCCTGCTGTTTTCAGAGACCATATTGACAGTGCACCATCAGACTGAGAGAAAACCACTGAGTTCGTTTGGAATGTTAAAGTTATTCAACATCAGACTTCTTGGCATAAAAACCTTGCTTTCTTAGAAAACAAGAGCTTTCCAACTTGCAGAGGACAACCTGCAGAGAGACTTTCTGTACTAAAGACAAACATTTGGGAATAAACACCGGGGTTCTTTGCCATGCCTGGGCTTTAGCTACAACCTCACACTCTTCTTCCTTCTCCTTCTCCTTCTCCTTCTCCTTCTTCTTCCTCTTCCTCTTCCTCCTCCTCCTTCCTCACTCTCTCTCTCTTTCTCTCTCTCTTTCTTTTTTGGATCTGGTCTGTTCTAAAGCAGACCTAGACCTGGAGAGAACTCACTTCTCCTCAAACCAACTCAAAATACAGCTGTAGGCCAAGTCAGAGCCAAAAGATACTGTGTCTTGGCATTTTCTCGCTCATTTTAAAAGATGTCTGCTGTGGGTGCCTGGAAGGGCACATCTCCATTTTCTTCTTTGTTTCTTATTTGTTTGGATCCAGGATGAAATGAGGACAAAGTCTTTTTATACTCGGAGATGTTTTGATTCATCCTCCGTGGTGGTACAAAAGTTCCCCAGAACAGCCACTACTATCGTGCTTGGAAGTCCATCACACATCCTGCCTCCAACAGTGCCATCATCTTTTAACAGTGAAGCCTTCTTATCCCAGGGTTTTCCTAGGCTTCACAAAGAACATTTGTTATTTAGTGCTAAGACAGGTGAAGAAGTATCTCTTACTCTACAGCAATTAATTTATATGACTCAATCACTCAAGGAGCCTTCTAACATCAGCGACAGCACTGAGCTGTAGTCTTGATTCTGTGTGTTATTCAGATGAAAATAACCCCATTCACGTTTATGTTCCGGCTGCATGGTAAATTAAGTTTATCTTTGTTTCTATTTAACTAATGGCTACCCTGATATTTTGGATCCTGATCTAGATGGGAAGAGCAGCCATTTGATAGTTAGTTCTTGCAAGAGTGTGCCTGTGCTGGGGGTGGGGGTGTTAAACAATGCTCAACTGACTGTCTATGGTTTGAGAAATTCTCCTCCTCCTCCTGTGTGTTTAACCCCCCCCCCCCCCGTTGCTAAATACCTTCTATAAGTCTGGTTCTTTACTTCCTTTACTCGTTATAGATGGCCATATCAACTTGGCATAGTTGGCTCAGGTTTGTGCAGTCATTTTTAGGGCACAGGAAGTTTTCTGATGAAGACAAGAATGAATAAGTTTGGTAAAGCAGAGCTGTAGGTAGGAAGTTAATGGTGCAAGAGGACCTTTCCAGGGATCCACAGAGAGGGTGCGCTCTCACAGATGAGAAGTCGGATGCGGTGGTGGGACAAGCCTGTAGGAATAGCCAGGGGTATTCCCAGGCAGCAGGCTAGTTCCATTTAGGGACAACGGACAAGTAAACGAATGTGGAAAGATCTAGAAAGGTGGAACTCCTGTCGGAGAATGTAGAGAAAGCAGCTGCTGCCGTCCTACGTGTCTCTAAAGTCTCAACCGGGCTTTGCTCTCCTATTCCCCCCACTCCCGCCCCCACAAAGAGAAGCTAATCTCGGGGACCTGGTGCGGCCCGCTCCTCTTCGCCCACGAGAGGTGGTGTCACCTCCCAGCCACCCTTCCGCCCTCGGTCTCCTGCCCCGCCCTCGGGCGGGTGGCTGGCAGCGGTGCCCGCGGAGGCGCGGCAGGGGCGGGCCCTGTCCCTCGAGGCAGCCCGCGGGGCCAGTGGCAGGAGCGGCGCGTCGCCAGCCGCGGGGGGGCGTGGGATGGGGGAGGCGGCGGAGGGGAGCGCCCGCTGTCACTAGAGCCAACCGCGCACTTCCGAAGGGTGTCGCGGCTGCGCTCCCCTCCCGTGCCCCGGGAACTTCAAAGCGGCCCGCGCTGCCAGATCACCCTGCTGAGCTCTGTGGCCCCCCGGAGCCCCGCGCGGCCGCCTGGTGGCCATGACCCCAGCGCGCGCCTCCTCACTCAGCCCGGCCCTCCTGCTGGTGGCCCTGACCGCCGAGCTCACGGCAGGTACTGTGGGTGTCTCTTCTTGGTGCTAGTGGGGGTGGTAGCGGGGGCTGTCTGCGAGTGAGCATGGGTGACAGCAGCTACTTTGAGCCAGGTGGCCATTCTGTAAGCCAAGGGGAACCGGCCGCGGGGCTGAGGGGGCACAGGGCAGGGCGCAGCGTGGGTACCTAATGTCTGTCTGGCAGTTAGAGGGGTGGGTGTACAGGTGTTTGGGGGATCGAATCATTGGGGGGGGGGAAGGAGACAGGGGCCTGGGATTTAGAGAGAGGGGCCGAGGGGATGATTAATTTGAGGGCAGTTTGCAGCAGAGGGAGTAACAGAGCATTTGTAGGTGCGTGCTTTGCTGGGAGCTGGGCGGCACTACTTCTCACTGCAGGGACTTGGAGGAGTGCAGGTGCTCTCTGGGGGTGGCTCGGAGTGGAGCCCCAGAGAGACGCACAAGGGTGGGCGCGTGGTGGTGGTGGTGGAGGAGGTGGCAACTTACTCTTGAGTTTTAGGAGGTGAAATATATTCCGAAGGCCTTTGGTGTCAATCTAGGTAGGCAGGAAAGGGGACTTGAGTCTGCGTGGCTTGCAAGGCACATTGCTTTCGAGGTATGGTTTTTACTCAGTTTCCGGCAGCGGGAGGGGGTTATGGCAAGCGTCCCAGCGTTTATAACAGGTCTGTGCTGTGATAGGCTAAATAGAGCCCTCGACCCGAGCTAGAATTCAAACGTTTCTTTTACAGTGTTTACTAGTAACTGGGGCAAATGCATCTTTGGTTAAAACAAAACAAAACAAAACAATCGTAGTCTGCTCTGACTAGAAATTTTTAACTCTGAAACTATCTGTATACACTGCCCTGGATTACAGAGAACAGGGACAGATTCCTCCCTAACTCAGTCTTTAAAAATTTCAACCAGACATTGAAGACATTTGCACATAAAAAACTGGTGTTTTTCCATCGAGCGGTACTTTGTCCGAAGATGATTTTGGTGCTTTTTTTTTTTTTTTTTTTTTTTGCAGATGACAATCTGTTTGACATTACTCAGGGTGGGTAGTTTCCCTCGTGGTGACATGTGCAAGAGAATGTTTTGAGTAGCATGATTGCTGTCATGTACAGATTTCAGATGGCCTCAGAGAATTACCAAGCACAATATTCAAGTTAAAAAGCGATAATTGGAAGGAATTAAGTGATAAAATTAGAGGATGAAAACACTCCACCCATCTTTAGGAAAGCAGTCACTCTAATGCAGCCAGAAAGACAATGGGGGGAAAGTTGGAGTTTAGAAAATTCATCCATGGGAACAGAGCTGTGGGGAAGTCTTCCTAGAAAACGAATGAACACTATGTGAACTCAGAACATTACCTGTGTGTTCTTGACAACTGACTAGAATTTAACCCTCAAAATACAACACCCTAAAAGCAGCCTTCAAAGTATCACAGTTTTGATTGGCTACTTGGGAACCCATCTCTCTAGCTTAACCAAGTTATCTTTTTTATTGGGTAACTACCTTTTCCTTTTTTCATTTAAATTAGAAACAAGCTTGTTTTACATGCCAATTCCAATTCCTGCTCTCTCCTCTCCTTCCCTGCCCCCCCACCAATCCCCTATCCCATCCCCTTTCTGCTCCACAGGGAGGGTGAAGCCTTCCATGGGGGATCTTCAAAGTCTATCATATCATTTGGAACAGAGCCTAGACCCACCCTTGTGTGTCTAGGCTGAGAGTGTATTTCTCTAGGTGGAGTGGGCTCCTAAAGTCAATTCGTGTATTAGGGATAAATACTGATCCTCTACCAGAGACCACATAGATTAACCAGACCTCCAAACTGACATCCTCCTTCAGGAGGCCTGGAACAATCCTATGCTGGTTTCCCAGCTATCAGTCTGGGATCCATGTGCTCCCCCTTGTTCAAGGCAGCTGTTTTTGTGGGTTTCTCCAGTCTGGTCTTAACCCCTTTTCTCATCACTTCTCACTCTCTGCAACTGGATTCCACAGTTCAGCTCAGTGTTTAGCTGTGGGTGTCTGCTTCTACTTCCATCAACTACTGGATGAAGGCTCTAGGATGGCATATGAGGTAGTCATCAATCTCATTATTGGCGAAGGGCATTTAAGGTAGCCTCTTGACTATTGCTTAGATTGTTAGTTGGGGTCAACCTTTTAGATCTCTGAACATTTCCCTAGTGCCAGATTTCTCTTTAAACCTATAATGACTCCCTCTATTATGACATCTCTTTTCTTGCACTCCTCTATTCTTCCCCTGACTCGATCTTCCTGCTCTCTCATGTCCTCCTCTCCCCTCCTCTTCTCCCCTTCTCTTTCTGCTAACTCCCTCTCTCCTCCCACCATGATCCCAATTAACTCAGGAGATCAAGTCCCTTTCCCCTTTTCCGGGGGACCATGTATATCTCTCTTAGGGTCCTCCTTGTTTCCTAGCTTCTCTGGCAGTGTGGATTGTAGGCTGGTAATCCTTTGCTATATGTCTAAAATCCATATATGAATGAGTACATACCATGTTTGTCTTTTTGTGACTGTGTTACTTCACTAAGGATGATTTCTTCTACTGCCATCCATTTGCTTGCGAATTTCAAAAATTCATTGTTTTTTTTTTCCTGCTGAGTAGTACTCCATTGTGTAATTGTACAATGTTTTCTCCATTCATTCTTTAGGTGAGGGGCATCTAGGTTGTTTCCAGGTTCTGTCTATTACAAATACTGCTGCTATGAACATGATTGAACAGATGTCCTTGTGTATGAATGTGCATCTTTTGGGTATATGCCTAAGAGTGGAATTGTTGGATTTTATGGTAGACTGATTCCCATTTTCTTGAGGAACTGCCATACTGATTTCCAAAGTGGCTGTATGAATTGGCACTCCCACCAGGAGTGGAGGAGTGTTCCCCTTTTCTCCAGCATAAACTGTCATTGGTGTTTTTGACAGGAATAAGATGGTATCTCTGAGTTGTTTTTATTTTTATTTCCCGGATGGCTAAGGATGTTGAACATGTTCTTAGATGTCTTTCAGCCATTTTAGATTCCTCTATTGAGAATTCTCTATTTAGTTCTGTGCCTCACTTTTTAATTGGATTATTTGGTGTTTTGGTGACCAGCTTCTTGAGTTCTTTGTATATTTTGGAAATCAGCCCTCTGTCAGATGTGGAGTTGGTGAATATCTTTTCTATTTCTATGGGCTGCTGTTTTGTCTTGTTGACTGTGTCCTTTGCCTTATAGTAGCTTTTTAGTTTCAGGACGTCCCATTCATTAATTATCAATCACAGTGTCTGTGCTACTGGTGTTCAGGAAGCAGTCTCCTGTACCAATTCGTTTGAGGGTACTGCCTACCTTCTCTTCTAAGAGGTTCAGTGTGACTGGGTTTATGGTGAGGTCTTTGATCCATTTGGACTTACATTTTGTGCATGGTGATAGACATGGATCTATCTGCAGTCTTCTACATGCCAGCATCCAGGTATGCCAGCACCATTTGTTGAAGATGCTTTCTTTTTTCCATTGTATAATTTTAGCTTCTTTGTCAAAAATCAGGTTTTTGTAGGTATGTGGGTCCATATCAGGGTTTTCTTTTTTTTTTTTTTTTGGTTTTTCGAGACAGGGTTTCCCTGTGGCTTTGGAGGCTGTCCTGGAACTCGCTCGGTAGACCAGGCTGGTCTCGAACTCACAGTGATCCGCCTGCCTCTGCCTCCCGAGTGCTGGGATTAAAGGCGTGCGCCACCAACGCCCGGCTCCATATCAGCGTTTTCAATTTGATTTCATTGGTCTACATGTCTATTTTTGTGCCAATACCAAGCTGTTTTCAGGACTCTAGCTCTATAGTAGAGCTTGAAGTCAGGGATGGTGATGCCTCTGGAAGTTCCTTTATTGTACAGGGTTGTTCTCGCTATCCTGGGTCTTTTGTTTGGAAAACTATTTTTTTAAGACACAGAACCAATTATACTTTTTAATGTATGCTTGAGAAATATATTTTGTTCTATAACAAAATTTTTAGGAAGTTTGAGAAATTAAGGCACAACATGATATTAACATAAGTTCTATTATGTACTTGACAAGACATGGAAACTTTTGACACTAAAATACAATATATATGTATATGTATACACGTATAAAATACCGTATATATGTTCCACTTTAATTTGATTATTTCCTTAAAAACTGAGATACCAGAAAAATGCATAGTAACGGAACTAATGTGTCAAAATCGTGGCAACTTGTTAAAGTTGAACTTTTGTAACCAACTTTCCCATCCAATACAATTATTTTCAGATTTCTCTAGGAAACTTGAGTCCCCTTCGTTTGCTGCATAAGCAATGCATATTGTTATCTATTAATAATGGAACAAGACATTATTTGTTCCAGATTTTACACAATTCTTTGATTAAGTTTTTAGATTTGTTGAATTTTATTTTACATGCATGAAAATATGCCTGCATGTGTGTATATGTATATGTATATGTGTGTGTGTGTGTGTGTGTATGAGAGAGAGAGACACAGAGAGAGAGACAGAGAGACAAAGAGAGAGAGAAAATAAATACCATATGTTTGCCTGGTGCCTGAGGAGGCCAGAAGAGAGTATTGGATCCCCTGGAACTGGAGTAGTAGATAGTTTAGATAGTTTCAAGCCATCTATTACTGGGAATAAACCTGAGTATTCTGCAAGAGCAGCCTGTGCTTTTAGCCACTGAACCTTGGCTCCGGGCCCTCTTCAGTATTTTCATAACAGAATTACAGGTAGATTTCTCCCAAAATTAAATGGTGTTTCTCAAACAATTTCTAGCCTCTTTTTATAAGTTATGTCAGTTAATCCTACTGACCATTTACAAACATTACTTGACATCGTTGGCACGTTGTTCTTGTCAAGATGACACAGTGAAACTGTGTGACAGAAAGCGCCAGCTTCCAATTGGCTCTACTGCATGCCATGTTTAGGACCTTGGTATTCGAAGGCATGGTAAAGTAGCTGGCCCTTTCTGCTTCGGCTGATACTCTCCAGCATCTCTGTCGCCTTTGTGGAG